CCCCAAAACCCCAAAACCCCAAAACCCCAAGTAGCAGATCTTAAGATCTAGTTCGAACCCATATTCGGAGAATCAGAATCTTGGCGAGGCTGATTGCTTCCAGTAAATTGGGTATTAATAGAAATGAGGAATTTTCTCTAATTCTCATCTACAGATATAGATTAGGATATCCAGAAGATGACACTTTACTGTAAATTGTTCACTTTCAGTGGGTAAAAATAAATTTTGCACTATCTCTTCCCATTTGATAGATTTCTATTTAAATAGAGAACCTAAGAAAGTGAAGCTTAATAAGAATATGGAAGATATTGGTACATTTTATATTGACTCCTTAGAGAACCAGCTGATGTGAGGTATGATGAAGACTAAACATGCCATAGATGTCCTTAGGCTCCCCAATATTTGAACCCTCTAATTTATAAAGCATAAACTACCATAACCAGACCTACAATTGAAAATAGAGTCGTGAAGGTCAGACGCTCAGAAATGCATTGTTTCAGTTCCAAATTTACCGAACCTATGGTTGAGATTCCTCTGCTTTCAGATATCTTGCGTATTTATTAAAAAGGAACATCTTAGGATTAAACTAATAAAAAGAGATTTAGGACAAATTTTGGATATGGAATCTGGACTAGAATCTTACTTGGCGTGGAATATTATTTAGATGATGATGAGAGATACTTTGTAACAGAATTTGTCAAAGATAGATACCTCAAGGTCCAGATGAAAGAGTTACTCAGTTGTTTTTCTTTTAACTAAGGGTGAACGATAGGTGCTCAAATGATCCTTAGTTCAGAATAACCTCATCAAAATTGATGCATCTATAGAGGCATAAAGCCTGAGAATCTATGATTAATGAAGGAGACTACATTAAACTCATAGATTTTTTGGTTTGCTAACTGGTTTTCAAATAAAAAGAAAGGCTGCCTGAGAAAATAGAATATATGAATTTACCAGGAACCAAACAGAATAAATACTGTAACCTGCCCTATGTATGCAGGTGGAAATTCTGAAAATTTATTTTATTGTTTTTATTACTAAGAGTTTCCTTTGTAAAATTATTAAATTCCAACAGCTTTTGAGCAAAGACTGATGAGCAGGTTAAATATTTTATTTTAAGCCAAGTAATACATTTTTCACCACATTTATCCATGAAGAGTCAGAAAGTATCATGGATTCAAAAATTATTACACAAGGTGCTCATAATACTTATTTTGTTTATTAATTCACATCTAATCCCAATCCTATAAATCTCTTTCAAACTTCCCTGATCTTCAAGTCTAAAACTAAGCCTCAAGATAAAAACATTAATTTCCACCCAAAAAATACTTTACCACACCCCAGATACTAAAATCACTAAAATTCCTAATACTCCTCCACCTTTAACCCCCAAATCACTTCACCCCAACACCCCAATATAATTCCTTCCAACCCCCAAAAAATTCCCACAACTAAACTCACCCTACGCCCAACCCCAAAAATCCTTCCTAGCCCACTTTTCCTTAACTTCCTCCTCTAAGTTCCCTTTCTCTTCCTACAGGTTCCTTTTTTACCCACACGCTGTAGATATTAGGCTTGGAATTGGGGGCTGAGCGGGGTGGTTAGGAAGTGTGCGTAGGGGGTGGAGAGGGAGGAGAAGGGGGGATTGGGGGGTTGGAGTAGAGTTTAGGTGAAGATTAGAAATTTGAGAATTTTTAGGTGGTGGTTAAGTGGTTAAAGGTTGAGTATAATATAGAGGGAGTTTTAGTACACAATTTAGAACCAGGTTTTGTTATGATTTGTGGTAAGATCTATCTTGTAAGAATGTATTAAATTCTGTATTGTAATGTTTAATCCCAAGACTCAATTTGATAAAGTCATTTTTTATCAAATTTGTCAAAGTTAATTTGTTTTTAAGATATTTGACAAGAAAAGGAAATGTAAATTTAACAATCGTAGCCAAATTGTTCTTTTTTTGTATAAATAGAAGCCTTTTACATTTATTCGAAACCAACAGGTCAAAATATCATGTTGAGAATTCTTTAATGTACTTTGTAATATTTGGTGATTTAGAAGTATCTCAAAGTATTCTTCAGTAATAGGACACCCTTCTATTAGATCTTCAAATTTCTCAAGACTCATTTTATTAACAAATTATTTAAAAATATAAAATATTAGGGGTTTTGGGGTTTTGGGGTTTTGGGGTTTTGGGG